ATCCATTGAGACCAAAGCAATGGTCCCCCTCCCAGAGAATCCTGAGGTCTTTGAGCTGCAGCCTGAGAAACCTGGAGGGTTGTCAGAATGTGGGCAGATGGGGAGGAGGGTGGCTGCTGGCCTCATGTGAAGTGAGTGGAGCATGCAGGGGCACAGGAAGCTCCTTGGCACCTCCAGCAGAGGGTTCTTTGAAGGAGCAGCAAAGATGATGACAGACAGTCTGGACAAGATAAGGAGGCAGCTGGTGTGAAGAATGGAGCCTGCTTTCTTTTAGGCAGCAGGGAGCCATTGAAGGGTGTTGAGAAGCTGTGGGAAGTAGGCCTGGCCATTGGTAGGTGTTAGTATGGTTACTACTGCTGTGGTTATTTAACAAGAGGATGAGAGGTATGCTTTGTGAAGATAATTTTGGTAGCTTGATCAGAATAGTAATAGGGTCAGTCCCTTTAAATACCTTCTCTTATTTAATTCTAACCTTCTTACGAAAAAGGTATCCTTAGCTCCATTTTACAGATGAGAAAACTAAGGTACACACACACACACACAAACTTGCCCAGGGTAGCAGGGGGAGGGAGATAGGAGAAGTGAACATATTCAGCAGATAAGACATTGGTCCAAGCATGAGGTGACAAAGATCTGCCCTGGGTTGTGGCTGAGGGAATGGAAAGGATGACTGCAGGAATGTGAGAGACCACAATATTGACTATGCCCAAAGCAGGCTGTAAGCAGTGCAGGCTGTGAAGGGTAAACCCCACAATTGGCTTGTTTTGAGAAGTGAGTCTGGCCGAAGCCTACGTGCCAAGGTCAGAGTAACTCGCACCCAAATTTGGTTCCCACAATTAAAACATTCTTAACTAGAAGGACAATGTTCTAATTACAACCATATATTTTGTTTATCCTGTTCCTAATTTGAAAATGCTTTGTCTGTATTAATTTCCACAGAAACTGCACAATTGCGCGTCCTTGAAAGTTAGTGCCGCCCTTCCACATACATAGATCACCTTTACCCAAATTGATTACCAATAAAAATCAGTGGCTTGGACTGGCCAGTGCCTTTGTCAGTTGTACCAGCTTTGGTCATCCTGGCGCTCCGCTTTCTGTCTTTCTTGGTTCTGTCTTTTACGTTTTTTTTCCTCAGGCCTGCATCATACACTGGGCAGGAGACTGGAGCCTACTATAGAGATTTTGGGTAATGTTTCAGGGGTCCCCAGCCCAGGAAAAGGATCTTCATGGGAAGGTATGACTAGACATACTGCCAGATAGGTGGGGTGGGGAGGGGTCTGTGGATGATCAGTAGCCCAGAGAATGGGGACCACAGAACAGCCGCCCTGCCCCTGCACACACACACCTGGCACTATTAGGAGGGATAGCTGACTCTCTGGAGACAGGGCACAGGAACATATCTTCAGGGCAGATTTCAAACTTGTATGCTAGATTTTCATTGGGAAGAGGTCCTTCCCCCCAGCATGCATTGTAAACTGCAGAGCCAGGGCAGCAAGCCAAAGGCTACTCACTGGGCTTTGGGATTCTCTTTAAGGAGGAAGGCAGAGAAAAGAGGGCTCAGAGCAGCTCCAGGCTTGAGAAGCCTGAGACCAGTGCCATCTGGGTAACAGCACTGGGTGCGCTGGGTCCTGAGTGAGAGCTGGCCTGGATATGTGCTCTCTTGATCTCAGTGTAGGGCATCTTGGAGGCTGGGATGGTCCCAAGTAGGGGTGGAGTGGAGAGCCCAGCTCCTGATAGTGCCTGACTCCTGCTCATTCCTGCAAAGCAAGAGGGATGCTGGGGGCAGTGGGCAGGGGAAGACCGGGCCTGTGGCTGTTTTGAGTCTCCCTGTAGTGATTATGAAATACCTTGTCCCTTTAAAAGGATGCAGAGGGCTGAGCTCCCCTGCAAGGGAAGGGTATCTCTCCATAAGTTTCACAAAAGTTTCAGATTGAGGTGAGAGTGATAACCTAGAAGCAGTTTGGGACAGGCACCGTGAGAGACCAATGTTGGTGGGGGTGATAGAGGAGACCAGCCTGCTGTGGAACACAGGCCTCTCTGGTGGAGTGTGAACACAGCGCATGTATGTGTAAAGTATGTATCTGTATCTCCCTGGTCAGGCAAAGCCTTGGAGTCCTGCATCTGTTTTGGGGGCCCTTTGCAGCTAAAAGTAGGCCTGGATTTTGCAGGGTCCTCATGGCGGGTATCTGTAACCACACATGGACCCCAGGATGCCTGGGGAAAAGCAGATATGTAGGCACATTCACACCAGATCCGTTGGACAAAGAGACCGGATATTGTGCTGTTTGATAAACTTCATAAAACAGTGAAGCAGAGTGATTTTGCTGCTGCCTGAATGGAAGTATCCTAAGAACCCATGCCAAGAAGATAAATAAGACCGTGGCTCCAGGAGGGGAGCTGAAACAAATGTGCATTGAGAGGTACATCAAAGTAAAACTAGTTCTCCTGACTGGGGGCTCTGTGTGTGGCGATGTGTGTGCGCATGTGAGCATGTGTGCACATGTGAGCATATGTGTGCATGTGTGTGTGTGTGTGTGTGTGTGTGTGTGTGTGTTGGGGCAAGTGTTTGGCAGATACTATGCCACATCAAGGGGCCCAGAAACATACCCTGGGCTGTTGCCAGCCCTTCTGAAGGCAGCTGTCCACACACCAGGCCTGCTGGGGGCTTAGCTAGGATTAGGCCTAGCCCTGCTTGGCACAAAAGAAAACTAGCATTCACAACTGCTGAAGGATCTAGGTGCCCTAATCATCCAGCTGAGGGGGAACGCTGGAACATCTCTACACAGAAATCAGAATGCCATAGTGGTCACGATGGCCACCTCTTGTTGGCCAACTGATTTATCCTGCACAGGGGTTTCAAACTTGGGTGTAAAACATTAGTCCTCTCATATTTGGCTCTGAACATTTTATGGAGTGGTGGGGAAACACAGAGTCCTGGGATAGAACAGAATGTTAGATCTGGACAGGCAGTTAAACATCATCTAGTCCAAAGTTCTCAAAGTGGAGTCTTTAGGCCAGCAGCAACATCTGGGAACTTGTTAGAAAGGCAAATGATTGGACCCCACCCTAGAATTACTAACTCAGAAACCCTTGGGGTGAGGCCCAGCCATCTTTGTTTTAGCAAGTTTTTAGGGGAAGGGAAGAGATGATTTTCTGATGCACTCTAAAGTTTTGAAACCCACTGATTTACTCTGTCATTCTTAGAAATGAGGGACTGGAGTCTTAGAGAGGGGACTTTTGGTAAGAGCACACTTTGCTCCTCACCTATATGACTTTGGCTATTTATTTTGCAAATAAAAGGAGGAATTTTAATAACTTTTTCTTAGAGGCAGTTATTATGTGTTTATACGTTTTCCATTTGTTAATAAGCTAGGTCAGTAGTGTCGCTGGGGCCCAAACTGTGGGATTATTTGCTATAAAGTCCAGGCTCTGGGAAGTAGACTCAGAGGTCTCTTCAGGTTCCACAAGCCCAGGCCAACAGGTCACTCTCCCCTAGCTAGCTAAGTCACCAGAACCACCTTCCTTGTCTGTCCCAGCTGCTCTCTCTGTAACTACACACCAGCCTCCTGGTCTCGCTCATGGACGTTTTGATTAATAATCCCCCTGTCAATTTGCCAAGCCAAATGAGGGTGGACTGGTGGGATCAGTTTCGCCTACTGGCCTGTTCTGCCTGTCTTGAGAAGATCTGCCTCTCCTTCCGGCTCTCACAGTGGGCACAGCATGTTTCCAATATTGCATCAGTGTTTCCCCCAACAGAATAACACTTTAATGGGGCAGATTTGTTCTCTGTTCGGAAACACGTGGGCCCTTGTCAGATGCCGTTGGGAGAGCAAGTTGCCCTCCACCGTGCCCATCTGGTCACCCCTTGGGGCTCCCCATGCTGATCCAGAAGGGCAGTTTCCTAGATCCGGTGGTGTGAGGAGTGAGGGCCCCTCTGAGACTTTCGGGTGAGTAACTCCTCTAAAGAGCAGAACTTTAATTGATAGCATGCTTATATCTGTCCGAATTCCTGGGAGAATCATACGAAAAATCTGTTTGGTCAGAATTTCCTAGCAGAGAAGGAGCCAGTTTGCTTTATCCAAATGTGAATACACCTTTTTGAATGTGGGTGAGAGGACAGAAATCCATTCTCTTCTCCCTCCAAAGGGCTGGAATGAAATGGATGCCAAGGGGCTGGGAGAAAGAAGCCCAGGGTAGGACAGAATTCCTGGCCCCTCTCCCCAGGGTGAGCTTTCTCTGGCCTCAAACCTTAGCAAAGCAGGCCCCTGCTCTCCAGGGAACATGATTTTCTTTTCCTGAGCCCTGAGATATCTGGAGCCCTCCTTTCTCAACTCAGAGAGCTGGAATACCCACCAGGGAGGATATTTTTTTTTTCAGTTCACCAATTTCGTTCCTCCTCTGTTTTCCCTGCTCAGCCAGGGGCCTATAACCTGTAGTTAAATAATTAAGTAATTAATGTCGATTAAAGTTTATTTCATTCTGAGCATTTCACAAAGCCCTAGAAATCATTGGAGTCTCCCTGGAGCATTGCAAAATCAGGCTTGGAAATCTCAGATGAAGAGAATGTTAGCCAGTCGATGACAGACAAAGCCGAAGCAGAAAGTGGTTCGGAAAAGAGCTTTCAGTTTCCACTGGGTCCCGGGACTGGGCTCCAGGGCTCTGGCTGGTTTGATAGAGATCAAACAATTGTTGATTTCGTTCTGATGTACAGAGAATAGAAATGGAAAGAGATAGAGCCAAGGCGAGACAGAGACAACGCCTCTCTGGATCTCCCCACTCAGGGATATGGTCACTTTAGGAAGAGACTGTTTCAGAACTCCCGGTTCCCTGCTCCAACGAAACCATAGGGGATTTGAGGGAAGCCCTTTTAATGGATTCGAAGACTGCTGTTTTGATTCTAGCCCTTAAAAACTCGCCTACTGCCCCGGAAGATTTATTTTATTAAGTGCGCTACACCTGAAAGCAATTGAGCCTCGGCGTGGGCGCGGGGGCCGCGGAGGGAGGGCGGGTGAGCGGCGGCGGCTCCGCGCTCTGCGCCTGCCGGCACCTCGGGCTCTGCGGCGCTGCAGCCTCGCTTCCATCTGCCTTCCGCGCCAGCGTTGCGGAGAGAGCCGGGGCGAGAGTGGGGGAAGGAGAGGTACGTGGGGCGAGCGGGAGTTGAGCTGGATGTGGGCAGGAGACTGCGCCCAGCGTGGCTCGGCTTCCTCGAGCCGCGGTGCGGGTGATCCAGGCGCCCGGGTCCCTCCCGCGCGCCCTCGCAGGGGTGTTCGCCGTGCTGCCCCAAGAGCCCCCTTCCCAAATGGGAATAAGAGCGAGGCTGAGATAGAAAAAAAAATTCAAAGTTCAACGCCAACTTCACGTCTCTATAAAATCAGATCAAAGGGAACAGGCGCTCGGGCTTTTCCTGGATCGCCAGGGGCTTTGGGGCGCCCCGGGAGCGGAGCCCGCGGCCGCGGGGCGAGCTCTTCGCTCCACCCGGGGGCGGATGACTCAAGGGTCGCAGCGTGAGGCCTGAGTTTCCTCTGCGCGCGCCAGCGGAACGAGCGCGGTGGTCGTGAACTTGGAGTCTGGCGGACTGACAGCATCCCGCCGGTGTCATCTCAGGGCCGGGCCGGCGGGCAGCGGTCTGGGAGCCAAGTTGGAGACCACAGGGCGGTGAATGTGGGGGCCCCGACAGACGGACAGACAGTGCGAAGGCCGAACACCAGGACGGTGGGTGCTGGCTGCACCAACCCCGCTGCCACGGGCGCCGCACTCGTCCCTGTCCCCGGGGTGACCGCCAGGCAGATCCCGCCTCCGTTGTCGATTGTCCCTGCTGGCTGCCTTCTTGGGGCTCTTCGGAGCATGCTGGACCTGTGCTTTCATTTTCTCGTTTCTCAGTTCCACTCTTTGATAAATATACGCGTGTGTGTGTGTGTGTGTGTGTGTGTTTCCCTTTGTCTTTCCAAAAAGGATTCTTCTAAAGTGAATGAGAAAATGGAAATTTCCTCTAACACTGAGTGGTCACGGGCAAATTGAGCGTTTTAGAAAGCTATAACTCCGCAATCCAACAGAGCCTTGAAGGTTATGGTCACAAGAAATGTGAATGGGGATAAACCTTCACATCTTGAGAATAAATATGGAGAATTTTATCAGTATCAAAATTATAGTCTCTTTCTCTCACTTCACATAAAAAGAATTGTAAAGTTTGGGCATTCTGTGCGTGTATCAGTTTTATGTACTGTAGCATTCCACCCCTCTTGACATAAATTTCCATGTCTGCAGAGCCTGCTTGTAGGTAAAACCACATGTGTATTTCGTGTGTGCTGGCACAGTTCAGTTGTGGCAATGGGTAATTCTTGGTAATGGGCATTGGGAGAAGGGTCCTTAGATGGGCCTGCATGGAAAGTCATTTGTGTTTGCACACCTGGGAGAAATACCCTGGACTCACATTGGCAAATAAACCAGCCAGAGAGGGCCTTCTCCTCGTACACAGTCTGGAATTACAGGAAATTTACAAGCAGAAAAAAAGGGCAAAAAATTAAAGAGGCCAAGGAAACAAGGAAGAGAGAGAGACCCACTTAGCATGGAAAGACACAGAAAGAATAGAAAGTCATAAAAACCAGATTCTGGGAGGGAAAAATTCTAAGAGAAAAAGAAGAAACATAGAACACCGTTGGAGAGAGAAATAGAGATGGAAAGAGGAGATGAGTAGATAGAGAAAGAGTAGGCATAAAAAGTTGTTGAAGAAGTGCATCAAGAGGGATGAAGAGACAAAGGGCCCTAACCCAAACTGGGGATGGGGTGGGGTGGGGTGCGGAGAAGACAGATGCCTTGGAAGCTGGAAGTCTCCCCAGGGCAAGGCGCCTCTCCAGGACCTTGCTTCTCAGGTTTCCCCAATGTTAGGAAAATCTAGGAAAGCTTTTGTGGGCACCATCTGTTTGTTTGCTCCATGCCCAGATCTGATGGTGCCGTTGATTTGGTTTTTAAACAGTGGGTTTGCAGTCTTCTGGGCTGGGGCAGGGGTCTGCTAGTCATCCTTAAACCTGCAGATTGGATTGAATTTCGGCCACTTTGATGGTCCTGTAATCGGCTGCAAGTTTTTCAATTTCCAGTCTCCTCTCTACTGGCTGGGGGTTGAAAGGGGACTTTAAAGATGCCTTTGATAATGTCTCTCGATTACATATTTCCATAACAATTTTATTTACCAGATCTTTATGTCTGATGTAGCCCCAGATGTTCTGGGGGGAGAAAAAGAGGACCCATCCCCTTTGTCCCGGCCTCCGAGTCACTGGAAACAGGCAAACCCATGTGCCCTGGCACCACACCCCTCTCCAGGGTTTCTCTGCTCTTGCCCCCAACCTCCAGCTTTTCCTCAGCCACACTTTCTCAGAGCTAGGAACCCATCCTCAGGATGCAGCTCTGATAAAACTGGGCCCTAGATGCCCATTTTCCACCAAAATTTCCCCACATCCTGGTTCTCCTTTCATGATCTCTGCTTGGTGGCAGTTTGTGGAGTCGGCTGACCTACTGCTGTAGGAAGTCAAATTGGTTCCAGGTGCCTCTCCTGAAGAATGTGAGCAGGCTCTTCTTGAGACGAAGTATCCTTAGCAGCATCAGGAGGCATTTCCTTCTTCCTCCAACACTTACTGAATGTTGCAGGAAGGCACAAAGATGCATGCTGAAGTCAATCAAACATCTCCCACTCTTGAGGAGTACAGTGTCTACACTGCTGGGGAAGTGAGGCAGGTATGCAAGCAACTGAGGCAGAGTGTGAAGAATGCAGAAGAGAGGTGTCATCAACTGGCTACCACTTACAAAGGCAGCATCTGGGAAAGCTTCATAAAGGACTAGTATGTATTTGTTCCAGATCCTTGAGGCCATGCAAGGTCAGATTGCATGGTAATGGGAAACAGTTAGGGATTATGGCAGGCCCACTGGGCACTTTGTAGCACCCCCTTCCCAAAGCAGATCTAGGTGATCGTTGGAATAAATTTCTCTCAATACATTTCATTCAGTATTTCTTAAAACAGGGGGCTGGAGATATAGCTCAGTGGTTGAGTATTTGCCTAGCATGCACAAAGCCCTGAGTTCAATGTAAAAAAAAAAAAAAAAAAACAACAACAACATCAACAATAAACACACACACACACAAAACAAACCAGGGAGCTGACTGATTGTTGGAATAAGTTTCTGTCATTTCATACATTTTACCTAACATTTGTTAAAACAAGGTCCTGAGGCACAGAAATGGAGGTAACAGGTCCCTGTCACCTGGGCACTGTTGTAGATCATGTTCTGCAGAATTCCAAGACCCACTCAGGGCAGCTCGGGCAATGAGTGGAGAGTAACCAGCAACCTTTGGAACTTCAAAGATTCCATGTGAAGTTTCCTTTGGAAGAAAAATGGGGGAGCTCTGCTGCTTGAAAATACAGAAAATCTCTTGTTCTTAGGAGTCTGAGTTATGAAAAATAGCTAAGTAAATAATTAGCTAACTGAAAGTGTGAAAGTATTCCAGGAACCAAAAATTATGATTAAGCTGTAAACTAATTCTGAGTACCTGAGTTTCAATTTTAAAAGTATCCAAAGTCCCTTCAGTGCTTTCCTGGTCTATGACCTATGGATAGAGCATGCATCAGGCCCAAGGCTACCATGTTCTCTGGCATGGTCTTCCCACATCCTGCTCTCAACTCCCATTCCCCAGCCACTTGGAAGTGCTCCAAGCTGTTCCTAGAACACTCAGGGGGCCAATTCTAATGATATTCCCAGACCAAACCCCAAAGATGGGGTTGTCCAGCTGGCTAACTTTGGCCATAGCCAAGAAACCCCACACTCCTGTTTTGGATATACCCTGTGAGTTGCAATATGATAAAGTGCCACCAGGGGGCAGGACAGAAACGTGGGGCTCGGCTCCAGGAGGGACAGGCTTGATTGGTGTCAGTTACAGAATATGCTGAGAGCCCACTTTCACTTCCTACTGAGGTGAACCAAGATGAGTGTGAACAGCTCCTACCTGCAGGATGCTTACAGTCCCCTGGTGACTTTGGTAATGCAATGTCCCCCTCCCCCTTCGGTGGGCAGAGGGGTCTGTTGCAGTTGGAAGTGGACCCCCTGGCCTCTTCTAGCACTTGTCCTCCAACTCCAGCAGTCTCTGCTGTAATCCAGCAGCTTAAACTCTGCCCAGTCTCCCCACTGACTCCTCTAGCTGTGGGATTCTAGGCTTGGCTTTGCCTCCCTAAGATCTCCCTGGGCATAGCTGTGGCACAGTGACCACTGAGGACTCCTTGCAGGTGAGACATCTGACGGAACAGGATTCTAGAGCTCAAGGGCAAGATCTCCCAGTGAGGGGAAGACAAGCCAGCTCCTGTCTCCTCTCAACCCTCCTATCCCAGGGTGACTCTTCTCCAGCCTAGGCTAGAGTCTGCCTACAGGTCTGCCTTGTGTCCCCCTCCTGCTCCCCAGCTGAGGAGGGTGGGTGCCTGCAATAGGACAGTGAAGCCCACCATGCTGGGGCAGGGAATGTCACTCAAAGACTAGATGTGCCCAGCATGCATAGTGTGTGCTTATCCTGTGTGTGTGTGTGTGTATGTGTATGTGCAAGCAAGCACTGAGATGGCAGGGGCATCTCATCCTCCAGCTTGCCCTCTATACTTTAGCCCTCAACCTCACATATGCTTTAAGCTGCTCTCTGCACAGGGCCCTGTGCTGAGCACCCACCACAAGACAAAGAGAGTGAGTTAGACAGTTCCAACCCTTGGGGAAGGGTTTCCAGAAACTTGTCCCAGAGGCCCTACTGGGTGGACTGCTTGGACAGGTGACAGGGGAGTCAAGATTCTACCTAGACCAGGGATTTAGCTCAGTGGTTCTGCCACCTGCTCTGCAAGTGCAAGGACCTGAGTTCGATCCCTGGTACCAAAAAAAAATATTCTACCTAGGCTTTGAAGGAGGCATTATCTCTGATCTGAGCTGGCAGAGGGCACATCTGGTACATGGTAGGCACTGTATTAATATTTGGTGAAAATGAAGGGAGGGGAGAAATAAGCAGGCACTCACAAGGGGCGGGCACACTGTGGGGTTTGACAGTTCCCTAGCCAGAGCTGCTCCTGGGGTCTCTGGCCATTCCAGATTTGCAAGTGCTGGATTTAGAAGCCCCTGAGT